CAGGTGGTGGGATGGAGAGGGTGGGCTTGCTACCTCCTGCACCTGGAAAATAATAAGACCTCCCCGAAAATAAGGCCAAGCTCTTATTTGGAGGGTCAAAAGAAAATAAGACCCTGTCTTATTTTCGGGAAAACACGGTATATCTTTTTATGTGTTTAGACATTAATGGCTGTGCGTTACGTTATTTTGAGACTGTTATTTTTACACTGTTATATAAGCTGTATACTCACTACTTTACATTGTAGCCAAGTGTCATTTCTTCAGTGTTGTCACATGAAAAGATATACTTAAATATTTACAAAATGTGAGGGGGGTGTACTCCTGTGCTATACTGTAAATGGTCAAACATTTGCCTAATTTAAGCTGATGTGCTACTTATTTATAGTTTGAGTTACTTTTCTAGAGCTGTCTATTGGTCTCTTAAATTCACCTGCATTATTTCCGCCTTAAATTAGGTTCGCAATGAATTTTACAAAGACACTCAGGGTGTAATCCTAGTATATGACGTTGGGCAAAAGGAATCCTTTAATGCTCTTGACCTTTGGCTTGCTGAGATGAAACAAGAACTTGGACCACATGGAAACATGGAAAACATTGTTTTTGTGGTTTGTGCCAATAAGGTAAAGACTGGTGTAGAAAGTTCACGTTTGTTAAATGCTTAAAGGGTTTAGGGCAGATAAAGGAGCATGTAAACAATTCGTCAGGATTACACTCTTCTCTCATTTTGATTTCAGATTGATTGTGGCAAGTTGCGCTGTGTGGTTGAAAGTGAAGGGCGACTGTGGGCAGAAAGCAGAGGCTTTCTTTATTTTGAAACTTCTGCACAGACTGGAGAAGGGATTAATGAAATGTTCCAGGTAAAATCTACAGTGCAAAACAAGGCAGTCGTCCTGCATCCCCCCCTCCCCGAAGTGTGTTGATTTGTGCTTTGTAATCTAGACATCCTTGACTGAATTCTTCCTTATGAGAATTTGCTTCCTTGCTAAGATGTTTTCATAAGCAACGATTTTGTTTGCTTTTGTAAATCTTCATCATCTTACACAAAATGAAATGTTGTTGATTTTTTCCCCCTTTAAACATGGTTACCTTGACTTACTGCAAGTCATGAGAAACATTGTTTGGGGGCATGAATAAAACCTGCCAGAAATACTTCCAGTCACGAATGCAGACGCTTTTCTGTCATTTTTCACTCTTCATTCATTCATTTGTTATTATAAATATTTTATATTTTATATTTTCTTGTTCCTTTCTGAAACTAGGGGTACCTTTTCTTGACTTGGCGAGAAAAATGTCCTAAGGTCTCTCATCTTTTACTGGCAAATTCTCATTTATTCTCTCTGCATATGCAATGTTCTCCCTAGTTTTCCAAGGAATTTTAAATTAATTAATTATCTTTAGTCTTTGAAATGGCACAGAGCTTTATGTTAAAACAAAAAGCAAGAACAAGTAGTGCAAGAGATTGTTTCGATATGCAAGAATTAATCTAATGGATGATCTGAAGGCACATGGCACAGCATTCCAATTGAAAATAAATCAAGAAAGCATTTAATGGAGTAGGCACGTCACTGTTTGCTTCTGCACTATTTGAAGATTTACTGGTTGTAAGTTTAAAAATCCTACTGTCGCTATAGGCCAGTGATGGCGAACCTTTTAGATACTGATTGCCCAAACTGCGCCCGCATACCAAACTGAAAGATACGCGCGTGCGTTTTGGACATGCACAGCAGAGACCTGAAGACTAGCTGGCTGGCGAGAGGTGGGGCATCCCAATACCAGCAGTGTGGCAAGAGGTAAGATCTTTTTCTTTTGTGAGCTTCTGTTTCATTGTTTGCAGGGAAATAGAAGCTCACAAAAGAAACGCCACGGAGATCTGACCTTGGGCGATGGTGTGCATGCCAGCAGAGAGGGCTCTGCATGCCACTTCTGGCTCACATGATTCAACATCATGGTTATAGTTCATTTCCTTTCTCAAGATTTCTGAGTTTGAGGCAATAGAATGAGCTGTTAAAGGCAAAGAAAATGATTTGGACTTTGATCTTCTCAATGAAATAAAGATTGCTGAGCAATGGGGCACATACAAGAACTTTGTAACTTTGCCTTCTTTGTGCTTGCAGACTTTCTACTCGGCTATTGTTGATTTATGTGATAATGGTGGAAAGCGCCCCATAACCAGTGCAAGCAACAGTTTCACTAAGGAGCAAGTAGACACCATCCGGAGGATTCGCAACAGCAAGGATAGCTGGGATATGTTGGGTGTCAAACCAGGAACTACAAGGTAAGGCAGGACCCAACCATTACAAAATAAATAATCTCTGCTGGTGTAGAAATGAGCAAGATAAGAGTTTGACTAGAAGGAATGGGATAGGTATGGCGAAGCTTTGAATTTAGAAAATGTAAGTTAAAATATCAACTAATTTATGGCAAGTGTTTATGTATAGCATAGGAGGCATTTCGTCAGAATGTATCTTCCCAACAACCAGCTACTTACCCTATTTGTCCTGGGGGTTTTTTCTGCCTGACTCCTAATGGATGTAACAGCGCCAGTGTCCATTGACCATGTCATTTGGGCATTGTTTATGATCCAGCCCTTTCTTGAGAGAATGGAGGCACATACAAGAGTACTGTCTAGTACTCTTGTACTGTCTATGACAAGAAATGCTTTCTGAAATTATGATTATTTTGTGTCTGGAGTTAAAAGCCCAGAGCAGTGCACCAGATGAAATTATAATGGATCTTTACATTCTAAATATAACTGTAAATTCATTTTCATTTTTCTGTTTGATTAGAATGCTATTTACTTGGATAACCAAAATGAATAATAATTGTAATTCTTTGCTGGTGCCATTCAAATAGTTTTAGTACTTAGGTAAACTTTGGTAGCTGAAAGACTTTCATTTTAAGATTTATCGTTCTATAAATAGACCCCATTACATTGCACTCTTCTATTATCTCTTTCTCTCTTGCTCTGCAGGGATGAAGTAAACAAGGCCTATCGAAAGTTGGCAGTGCTCCTCCACCCAGATAAGTGTATGGCTCCAGGTAGTGAAGACGCCTTCAAGGCTGTGGTGAATGCACGGACTGCCTTGCTCAAAAATATCAAGTAAAACACAAGAAGATGCGGCTTTCACCATAGCAAGTGATATGCCTATTCTGAGAGAGGCATCAAGGATTGCCTCCTGCAAAAGACAAAGGAAGCAAGTCACAGGAAATTCCTAAAAGCAATTTTTCTTCACCATTTACTCTCAAAGCTGTTCTCTGTTCTACTATGAATAGGTCAATATAGGAGACTTCTCTGAGGTGGACTTCCAAATCCATCTGAATGCCTCAGGAACAGTAACAACGGTAATATCCTGTCCTTTCTTTTCCTCTGAAGAAAAGTTGACCGTGGACTGAGATGACTCTAAAATATGTTACTTCTATTTAAATCACTTATTTCAATATTGTGCATTATTTTCCTCAAAACCAATGCTGATATTCAGCCTCTGATTAAGCACTTCGTTGTTCCTCTTTGTCCTACACTGGAAATTATTTTATCCACTCATATCCTTTGAACCACTTCATTAAGTTTAAGTTGGTTAAGGCATTCTTGCTTTTTCAAATAAAAATGGGAAAAATAATAGCATAATAGCCGAGGTCAAAGCATTAGTAGCCACTGGGAGTATTGATGGGACAGGTAGTACTTCCTACAAAATGAGTTAGATAGTAAGTTGATTTGCTCATTATTTGAGTCATGTTGTTCTAGGAGTGTTTGTCTATATTTTGAACCTCCCCGGACCTAGCAAGGAATATAACCTTCATCAGATGAGGGATTCAATCACACAGAAGCTTAATTTGGCTTAATTTGTTCTCACTTCCTCCCCAATTATAAATTAAATGAGGGAAGAAGGGAAGGGATAAAGGAAAAGCTAACTGTATGTACTCAAGTATAATTAAAAGGGCCCCTGAATTGAAAGAGACATGGTGAAACAAACTCAGTGGCAGCTTGTTGATTTCATGACTGGTACTAACATATTTATTTATTTATTTGATTTATATGCCACTGTTGTGATGAGCTGTGAGGGCACAGTAGCTAGAATGCAGTACTGCAGGCTACTTCTGCTGACTGCTGGCTTCCAGCAATTGGGCAGTTTGAATCTCACTGGCTCAAGGTTGACTCAGCCTTCCATCCTTCCGAGGTGGGTAAAATGAGGACCCAGATTGTTGGGGGCAATATGCTGACTCTGTAAACCGCTTAGAGAGAGCCCTAAAGCACTGTGAAGTGGTATATAAGTCTGCTATTGCTATTGCTATTTTCTGAACAGCTTACATACTTGTCCTAGAAATAAACTTAAAAGCATATAAACAACTAATTCCCTAATGAATGATACAAGAACTCCATATAAATTACACCATTACTCCAATTACAAAAAGGAACAACGTTCATAAGTATATTCATAGTTTTTTTCTAAAATTAAATGGGCATTAAGTAGGGGTGGAGTGGGGTATGATGCTATTCCAAAGAAAGAAACGGAAAAAAAACCTCAGCTGTATTGATAAGTGCTTCTTGGAATTTTTGTTGAAAGAATATTCAGGCAAAAGGTTAACTATTAAGCAATACTATAGCTCTTTTCTGGAATTGGTGCTGATCTATAGGTCATAGAAACAATTTTTCACCTACCTAGAACACAGCCTCTGTCATGGATTTTCTCCAGAATTGATCTAATTTAGGATACAAATATTGAATTTATTTACCATTCTAAGGATCACAGCATATTATCTGGTAAAATAGAAAGAATGCCTTATGAACAAATGGGTGAGTTGCCAAAAAAAAAAAGAAACCCTCTTCTTGAGTTTAGGAAGAGTATATAGTAGTCCCAAATATTGAAGATCACAGACTTCAACTAAAAATTAATGAACTTTTGGAGAACTCTTTTATTGTGCATTGAGAAATATGAATACAATTACGCCTCCGTCATTTAGCTGATTTTTCCAATGGTCAAATGTAAGATAGCAGTTGTGATGTGCAGTCATACATTATCCTCCATCTAGCACCTATTGCTCTTAGGAACATCTCAAAACAGTACAAGAAGTTAAGATGGTGGTGTGCCTTGATCACTCTGTGATTCTGTTTATCCAGTTCCCTGTGGAGACCATAAGGATTGGCACCTGTATTACATTGTATATTGGAAGTATGGGAGGGACACTGCTTTGGGAGTGTGTTAAGGGGGCAGCAGTTGTACCTGCAAGTACACATTAATTAAGGAAATAATCATCAGGTCACTAAAAGGTTCCAGTTTTGAGAAGGTTTTCAGGATTTTCCTCCACATGCCTTCTATGAGTTCTTAGAGCCAAGGAAAGACACCGTGTTTTCAGGATGGACATGGAGAAGTCCTGCAAGGCTGCCTTACAAGAATAGTCTCACTTGTGTGAAAGCTATCTAGCTTTTGATCAAAATACAGAAGGACTAAGACTTTTCACAGCCAAAATAAAAGCATACCCTGCCGTGTATGAATATAAAATTTGCTCTTTGAATATAAACATTGCTCTTTGTGTTTGTGTGTGTCTATGTGCACTTTAAGCCTTAGTTGTTTGAGCTGATAGGTTTCTCTGCATTTCTTCAATAATGTTCCCTTGTTTCCTATCTTCTGGAAGTGATATTTAGTCTTCTGGTTGTGCGAATGCTTTGTAATGTCAAATTCTTTTAAGCTACTGGATATGCTGTATATTCATAAATTGCACTTTTTTGCGATCTGGTTTTGTCTATAATCTTTTACATCATTAATGTCCAAGTGTGTCTTAAGTAGCAACTCTTGATAAACTCTTCACTCTTGAAAATCCATGTCTAATTCTCTACCCTGCTCTACTTACAGCTTGTCGGATGCAATAGTTTAGATATATAGGAAGCTGCAGGCTTTTCTGGTAACCTAGAATTCTTCTTTCTCCTGTTTGTAAACACAGAATTATTTCAAAGAACAGGCACCTTTGGGAATGAGGTTTACGAAACTGACCACTTCCCTTTACCAGACAATTTAACCTCCCTTCCCCACCTACTTGTGCTCTCATGCCAAATGGAAAAGGAGTACTTCAGAAGGGTTAAAATAGTACATTATTGTACAATTGGGAACCTGTAAAATTGCTGCTAATGTAATTATATTGCATTAACTTTCTTTTAAAATAGCTGCCATCCTTTACATTTATTTTCAAATTACATAAATTGGTGGATGTGTTTGTGTGTGACTAGCTCAAAGCCTTTGAAAAAAACTCACTTTCAAGACAAATACTGTGGGAAGTTGTTTGAAACAAGAGTTCTTTGTAATCTCCATTAAGATAGCAAAATGCCATCTTAACTGAAGCAGAACATCAAATATTGGAAAGGTAACAGATTGCTCAGATCCTGTCCTGTCCTGAATATGTCTGGACAGCAGCTTGTTGTAATTTGTAGTGGTGGGGGCACAAGCAGCAAGGCACATAGAAGACAACGTTTTGCCATTGTTGTTGTCCCTTGGGCATGCCTTCTTTAATTGCAATCTTTATTTAAAACACACAAACACATATAAACATTTATGTGTAAAGCATTGCCTCCTAGTGCAGCCTTTGTTTCTGAAAAAAAAAATGAAACTAATATAACTGAAGGTAGTTAAGCTTCAGTTACATAATAGCAGGGATCCCCCCCCCCCCCCAATATATTTTCTGTTGTTCAGATTCCTGGACTTTCTGCAGGAGTATGTGAATTTGAATGTGTTATATTATTTGGCAGGTTATCACTTAAGTAAAATGCCTGTAGGCATAGATGAACTTTAACAGAAGACGCTGAAATGTCCACTCTTGCATGCTGTTATGTCAGGCCTTATGTGTTTGAAATCTCTACATCAAATCTACAATGTCATTTGTTCATTTGTAAAAATATTTAACTGGGACAGAGACCCTTGTATACCTTTCTACCTGTTCGAACTATAGCAAATGTGTTAGTTTGGATGAGTGCTAACTTAAAACTATCTACCTGCTTTTATAGTTCTTTTATGAACATCATTGAGCTTGGGGTTTCCTTGAAGGAAAACCTGACTTGCCACCTGCATTTTGTAATTAAATCTACACTTAGCTGAAATGTCAACAGTGTGGTAGCCCTGCAATTCAGTCTACCATGGCTATTCATTTTCCAGACCTGGATTTTTTTGTTTTTATACCAAATGTCCCATGTGTGTGTCCCCCTCCGCCCACCAGCCAAGAAATCTGAGAACAAGAGATGTCCAATAGTTGCTTCAAAGATGGCTGCATTACAAGTCTCTTCACATAACATACATACATCCATTTCTAACTCTTCTGGAATTGTATTAAAGAAGGACATTCAGTAATCAGTTTATCTAATGAGGGAGGGGATTTGTCTCGGTGCTGAAATGCTTTGTGGAGGGCAAGTTCTATATTACACTACCAAAGGAAGCATTTTCTAGGTGGAAAAGGGTATACCAAATATACTGCAGTGACCACTGGGTGCTGCTATAGTCGGAAGCATACAGACCTATTTCTAGAAACAGCATTCTCAGCAACGCATTACTCTTGTTGGGAAAACAGACATTTTCAAAATAGCTTTCATTTTGTGCTACATTTGCTGGCAGCTTTAAGACACATCACATTTCAACTCATTACTCAACTTGTTTCAAGTGAAACAATACAATATGTGTGCCATTTCATTTTGCCATCTGTGATGAAACTTCTAGCACACATCGTATTCTATTGTTTCACTTGAAACAAGTGGAATAATAAGGCTTAGGTTGCCATGCCACAAAAATGAACAGTATAGCAATTTCATGGTGTATATGTGTTTATTTATTTGTAAAATTTATTGACTGCCCCCCTCTTACCAAGTGGTAACTCATATGCTGTAAGAGGGGAAGTGGCTAATGTTACATTTGTGATTTTGTTTCCTTAGACCTCAGTTTGACATGGCTGTAGAAAGCTACTGCAAGCAGAAATTGTAGAAACCACTTTCAAATCAATACAATTGCCATACACTCAGAACTATACACGGGTATAAATTTGGGGAGTATTCTAGCAATTTCCTTCCTTCCTTCCTTCCTTCCTTCCTTCCTTCCTTCCTTCCTTCCTTCCTTCCTTCCTT